AGTTACAAAATGTATTGTCAATACAATAAAATGGACTACTTTGTTTTAAGGATTTGTCACAATATAAGGTAGACCATGACGAATACATACAACGAGAATGTATTTTCTTACGGTATCTAAACAAATTTGCATTTCAGGTCATTATGCATTTGTAATTTATATGGGCTAGATTCAATTGGTTGATGCTAGGTATATAAATCCTCGATTGTAAACGTACTGGTATTCTCTCACTACACCCACACAATATAGGATCAGAAGCAAAATGAGTGAAGAAGGCCGTTTATTCGAAGCTGGCACCAACACAAGTCAACATGGTGGTTCAAAGGCCAAGCCCAAGAAAGCTAAAGAACCTTTGAAAGAAACAGACAAGACGCACAGAATACGGCCTTAGTAGAAGAAGTATTTTCGATGTTTAACGGGTACCTATCATTGCAACTCGAAGAGAAAGGCAAACAATATTAGGCTAAAGCTTCTATTGAGAAGCAAGCAACAGAATTCAAAGGTAATAGAAAGCAATTTGAATTTAACACTTAAGTGGATGAACTCATGAGCCGTATCGCCGATAATGGCGACGACCCACAAAAAGTTTGAGCATTAACAGCAACAGCGAAAGACACAATAAAGAAAAGGCAAAAGCTAATAAAGTTAGCCGACAAGAATGAGGACCGATGGCTGGTGGTAGAAGAGTGTGAATCAGACGATCTGGCTTCCGATACTGACGACGAGAAGCGAATTACGAAAGCCAAATCAGCTGCTGAGAAGTGCCGCAAAGAAAATTCCAGGGGCAACAATGCGAAAAAATTCAAGATGAGCGATAACCAGCTTTTTCGTGGTGAATGTAATGAGCTAATGATGCCTATATAGGGTGGTGTATTGAGCATTACCCATGTTATCTGATGTTTATGTGCGAAGATTTGTAGAATATAGGAAGTAAATAATTTACATTTGTTTGAGCGTTGCGAATTAGAACTGTATTTTCTTACAGTATCTAAACAAATTTGCATTTCAGGTCATTATGCATTTGTAATTTAGATGGGCTAGATTCAATTGGTTGATGCTAGGTATATAAATCCTCGATTGTAAACATACTGGTATTCTGTCACTACACCTACACAACCCACCCACAAGTACCCACCCAAGTGTTAAAACAGTTTCAGTGTATATAATAATTTGTTGGATATTGTACATATCTTTGTTATTATTAGGCCATGCAGAATTTGGTGTCCAGGAAAAACGATGCTATACCTGTCAGCACCTTGCATGGGCATTGGGCTAGAAACTGCAGAGCATCATGGCCAGTCGGTTATCGGCCTAACGGAAGTGGCTTCACATTTGCCAATCCAACACATGAAAACAGAGCAGGAGGAGCAGGAGGAAGTACAAGTGGACGATGAAAATAATGACAACCTCAAAGACTGGCTTTATCAGGTATTAGAAAATGAACATGAGTGTGAATTAGAAACAGTTGTAATGCCTTCAGTTAAGGGAAGACTGAAAGAACATATTACATTTTGGATAAAAATTGGCGCGCCAAATTTTCTCCTTTCCGTGATTCAAGAAGGGCATAAAATACCATTTATAGAAACTCCACTAACGCTTATTTGCGAAACAACAAGTCTGCTTTACTACAAAGATTTTGTACAACAAGTGATTTCAGAGTTACTGCAATCCAATAAGGCAACTAAAACAAGTAGTATGCCACACATCATGCATCCATTATCTGTTTCAGTCCAATCCTCCAGAAAGTTACGGCTTAGTTTGGATTTCAGGCATGTAAACAATTATGTACGAAAACAAAACATTAAACTGGAAAACTGATTTGACATATTTTCACAAAAGTTGCTTTATGATTTCCTTTGACCAGAAAAGTGGTTATCACCTCATTGACATTCATCCTGGTTCCCAAACATTCCTAGGGTTTGCTTGGAAGATACCTGATATCCCCATCTAGTTGCAAACGAAAAAAAATGTATCTGGCAACTGTGTCAAGAAATAGTTTGGCTCGGTCTGATACAGGCATATTCCAAACTATTGAGTATTTGAAATAGCAGAAATGTTATATATCGGCTGCCAGGAAAGATTATTTCCACTACTTTTTGGGACGCTGATCCCTGTAATAATGCTCCAATATAATGTAAAGGTTCCAATCTGATTAAAGAAGATGTGTACATGATATACTTTGGAATTTCCCATATTGATCATATTCTGTTGTTTTATTTTGTTTGTGTTAGATGTTAAGCGAGTGTGCAGTGTGGGAAAACGTTCCCAGCCATGTGAGACCTGACACCAAGGTATTTGGTTTTCTGCTAAATGACCATCATAGATTTTCTGCTAAAATCAAGGCAGATACTACCTCTAAACAGCACCTAGAAGAAATTCGAAAGTTACTGAAGTGGATGAGTTACTGAATCGCCTTTGGTAAGGTAATTATACCAATACCTGTATCAATGGTGGCTGTTTACCTGTATAAAAGGCATGATGAATCAAAATCGTATGCGAATGTTGTTGATGCTCACACAACATTGAAGTGGTTCCATACATTCGAACCGTATCAGATCGGAAATCCTTTCGACATCCCAGTTTGTCGGAATATTTTAGAAACTTCTAAAAGTGACAAACGCATATTCTTAACCAAGTCACCAATTTTTAGACCTTTGAGATTTTTTAGGTCTTCTAATCTGTTCAAATTATATGGAGCAAGACTTTCATACACAAGATGCCGAGAAAATAAATATGGATCCGGATTACACAGTTTGAGATCAGGTGAAGCTACAGCAGCAGCCAATGATGGGAATGTTACAGAACGACAATTGAAGTTACATGGATGCTGGAAAACTGATATTGCGAAGGACGATGTGCATGACAGTGTTAAGAACAGACTGCTTGTTACTGAGAATCTTGGACTTTAGATACAGAATACGTAATACAGATAGTTAATTGTGTTTATTACAATATATGAAATATGTAAAAATAAAAATTAAAAAAAAAACAACAACAAAAAAACAACAAATGGTGAATAAAAAGTGCTAGTGGTGCTGTACCGAGCATTACCCATGTTATCCGATGTTTACGTGCAAAGATTTGTAGAATATAGGAAGTAAATAATTTACGTTCGTTTGAGCATAGCAAATTAGAACGTAAACACGAATGGTTCACAGCAGATTAAGTTAAAATGGGAAGACTGGAAGCAAAGAGGCACTGGGGTGTATTGTTTCAGATTCATAACTTCAGAAGTCGCTCGCAAACCTAATTAGAATTGGTTGCATGTTAACTAAGGCAGCAGAAACACTCACTATCGATGTGATGTAACCTTTAAGTGACAATGTTATGACACCCTTTAAAATCCTATAACATTTCAGTTTTCTTATCATGCTCTCTACGTGTACTCTTGCTCTTGCAACTCTTCTTGTGGCTGTTGATGCATGTGCAGATTCCTTATTTTTAGCCAAAATCGGTGGAGCTATAAGACGTGCATTACAGACAGCTAGCAGGTCTTGGATATTAAATCCTTTATCTGCCATCACACAATCCCCAGGTTGGAGTAATTCCAGGAAACCACTTGCTTGCACAATTTCTTTGTCACTTATACAGCCAGTGTACAATTTTGACAAAAAATTGAAGTGGCAAACGGTGAAAGTGAAACCAATAATTTGAATGTGTTCTGGTAATGATGGCTTCTCGACGTTGAACTCAGTACAGTCTATGATTGCTCTAAGCTTCTCATATTTAATATCTCTATATACTTTTGGGCATTTCAATCCTTCCATTTCTTTAAGAGTTGTAAAATTCAGTAAAAAATAAAACTCCTTTTCCATAAATAGAAACCATGTTATAGAATTATACTGCTTACAAGAGCTGTTGATATGCCAAATATAATGCAGACAACATTGCCAAAGAAGCAAACTGTCGTAGCCGTACCAATGTTAATATGAACTGCTGCTTTATTGTTAGTTTAGATTGAGTGATCTTTTGTTATATTGATATGCAATATCTTAAATCAACAAATTGATGTTATCAACAAAATATTAATGTATTTTCATAAAATCCATTGAGGACATATATTTTTTAAAGGATAAATAGATTGATACCTTTAAAGACTGTTTTGACATTTTTTCTCCAGCTGTTTCCTTTTATTCACTCTAGCTAAACCATTCCACATTCTTAGATTTTTAGCCTTGGTTTTCAAAAATTGAAACAACACATCAAGGCATTCTTTTGTCAAACCTTTCAAATAAAATTGAATTAATCCCATCTCTTCAAAATCATATAATTTTATGAATAAAATAAGCCCTCCCCCTCTCTCTAGTACCCACCCTCTCTCTAGTATCCCCCTCCCCCAAGGTACACTCCATTCCTTTGACAATCATTTGACATACAGTATAAATAAACCAAACTGATCAAAATGATAACACAAAAAAATACAAAAACAAACCTGTGTAATGGCTAGTTTGTGTTAAATTTCAACTGTTGCAATGAACAGATATCGTTGCAGTGCTTGTCTATTTTGAAGCATGAAATCACTGTATTCTGTGAGATCTTTTGAACACACATTTGTCTATAAAAACAGACCAATGCCAAACATTAAAATTTTTAATTTGATGATCGTGTATACTAACACATAAAATGAGATTATTTACCTGTTTCAACTTCCTTGTACTTATTTTCGGTGTTTTCGACCATTAAAACGACTGTTGTATCAACTTATGTATATTCATTATTCTCATCGACATTGTTAATATCTGTGCTGCTTGCAAGGTGTTGTCACTTCGATGGCAAGAACTTTCCAAGTCTAAAAGAGTCTGAGCTGCCAATTCTTTGCTTTTTGTTCTATTTTGAAGTTCAGTAGTGAATACGCGGCGTCAGTTTTCGTTATACTCGCCTCTTTGACTTTGTATCTTGATCTCTTACACACATTTTCAGTGGTTTCCTTTTACGCTGCAGATGTTTAACCTTTAAATATTTAAAAATAGTTTTTTAAATTTTTAAATGTGCTTGAAATCACAGAACAAATACGGTAAATAATAAATTTCAACTACAAACCAACGTACATTTTCCTCACTTGTTTAATCCCGCAGATAGTGGGTCTGGGTATTCCTTTGTTGGCCCATTTTCACCAACATAGTGGAGACTACTAATACAATGATCTTTCTTGCATTCAAAACCGTCACCCCGATGACATCATTTAATCCACCGCTCTCGCTTCTTAGGTTATCTCTTGGGTGCAGGAAAGCATAAGAGAAAATGGAATAATTTTTTCATTTTAGTCCAAAATTGAGGATATCTAGAGTCGTTTTTGCAAGTGCCACCATATTGATTTTGTTGATTTGAAATACACTCATGTCTGCAATGTTGACATTTTGTACCATGTGACAGCCGTCAAAACTGCAGTTTCCAGGGCTAATGTCACAAATTCCTGTGCATTGAAGCTGCTTAAAAAATAAAGAAGCTATCAATCTGTTTAGAAACTAACTTTTTACATAAGGAGCTACTATGTATCGCACAAAATTTTCATGACATAACTAGAAGACAATGAACTACAGTTGAACATTTATTTATAAAGTATAAATATTAACCAATGTTTGAATAACTGTAATAATATATGCTAAAATATGTAATTTATTATGCCATGTAAATTGTATGTAAGGCGGCCATTTTATGTGAGTTCCTAAGTGTGTCGTTGTTCTGTCCTGAGGTTAACAAGAAACCAAGAAATAATACATGGTGTCAGAGATCTGAATATGGATTTAAATGGAATCCCAATGCCAAAATTTGACTGGGAATCAACAAACTTGCCAGAGCAATGGCGAAAATTCAAAAGTCATGTTGAGCTAATATTTGACGGGTCTCTTAAAGAGAAATCCGAAGAAGTAAAGGTTAACTACTTGTCGCTTTGGATAGGCGATAAAGGCAGAGAAATTTGTGAAACATGGACAGATTTAGACGGCAGTGGTTCAGAACAAGCAACGGCCAGAAAGAAACTTCAAACATATTACGACCGATATCAGGCACATGTTCAGCCGAGGCTCAACGCAATTTTCACTCAATATAAGTTCAATACGGAGACGCAGGCAGCGGGAACAATCGAACAGTTTATAACTAAACTACGAACTTTAGTGAAGGACTGCGAGTATACAAATCCTGACGAAATGATGTGTGACCGAGAAAAACTTATAAATGAAGGGGACAAACTCACCCTCGACAAAGCGATTCAGATAGCCCAAACGCACAAGTATTCACAGCAACAGTTGAAGACCATGGTCTCAGCAGGAGGTACATGGAATAAACAGAAGAAATTTTAATCGACAAGGACAATCATACCGCAATCAACAAGGAATTGGTTTTGAGAATAAAGATGATGTAAGAAAGAATCAAGACGAGATTGGATCGGAAAAGAAGGGGTCAAGGCAATCAAGAATGCCCAAGACAGATAAGTGCCCTGCACAAGGGAAACAGTGTAATAAATGCAATAAATATAATCATTTGGCAAATAAATGCCTTTCTAAAAGGGTTAATAATGTACATGATGTTGTGTGTCACAACGAAAATGAACTACAATTAGATGAACAGTTTGTTATAGATTGTATACAATGTGATACAAATAGCCCCTCTGATAATCAAGCCTTTTGCACATTCTTAGTAGGCTCTAAGCAGAAATCAGTAAAGTTTAAATTAGATACAGGGTCACAGGTTAATATTTACCCAAATCTATTTATAAGTCCCTGGGTGGGTGTGTAGAATGCCTTGATCGCCCCAATGAAACATTGTCAGCATATAACAATAATAGGTTGGAATCGCTAGGGTGTTGCCACTAAAAGTGTGTGCACCAAAAAGTAAGTATACAAATGAGAGTACACTTGCATTTCATGTAGTAGACACACAGTCTCCTCTGAGCAGTGAGCTTACTTATTGGTCATCCTTACTACATTTAACACCCCTTTTGGCAGGTATAGGTATTTAAGGTTGCCCTTTGGGTTAAAATCGTCTCAAGATGAGTTTCAAAAGAAACTTGATCAGAGTCTTGAAGGTCTAGAAGGGATGGTTTCGATAGCCAATGATATTATTATTCATGGTAAGACTAGGCAAGAACATGATCAGAGATTACATGAGCTTCTGATCCGAGCTAAAGAAAAAGGGATTAAGTTCAATAAGGATAAATTGGAAGTAGGAGTTACAGAGGTGAAATATTTTGGTCATCTCTTGACTGATAAGGGATTAAAACCAGACCCCGATAAGGTCAGGGCAGTACAGTCCATGAAGTTATCCACAGTTAAAAGTGAGCTTGAAACTTTTTTAGGTATGGTCACATATTTGTCTAGGTTTGCACCAAATCTATCTGAAGTGACCAACCCCCTGCACAGGCTACTTACACAGCATGCCAATGAATTGCAATGGAATCAGCTGCAAGTAGATGCATTTGAGAAAATCAAAGTATTATGACTGATAGTCCTGTACTAGTATATTATGACCAGCATAAACCAGTTACATTGCAAGTAGATGCATCTAAAATCGGTTTGGGTGCTGTTTTAATACAAGAAGGGAAACCCATTGCATATATGCATCTAAGTCACTTACACAAACTGAAATTAATTATGCACAAATATAGAAAGAAATGTATGCCATAATATTTGGGTGTAAAAAATTTCATTATATGTATGGGCGAAAGATACGAGTGGAGACTGATCACAAACCACTCATTCCTATTAGTAAGAAACCATTGCATGCTGCTCCTCCCAGAATACAGTGCATTCGGCAGGGAAAAGGCTATGCTATTGAGGTACAAGTTATCACATCAAAGCACTACTACACTTCTCTTTTGGGCCTGGCTGACAGCACTCACATGGGCATACTCAACTATGATGTCGACACAGCTAACCAACTCGAAAGTAATCCTGAGCCAGTTGCTCCACCTGGTGAATTAACACTCGATTAATACAAGCATGCTTATGGACATTTATGTGAGTGTTTAGGTGATCTGGGAACTCCCCTTTCTCTCACCCTTAATCCTGATGTTCAACCTATTCAAGCCTCCTCCTCCCTCCACACCGCTTCTCTGCAGCCAAATTGCCCATAATTAAGGAAGCCCTCGACAAACTCATTCAACCTGGACAGTTAGTTCGAGTGAATGAACCTACACCCTGGATCTCAAAACCTGCGAAAGTGCACATTTGTTTGGATCTCTCGCAAACCGTTAACAAGGCAATAATCAGACCTGTGTACCCCATTCCCACCCTTGAAGAGAACATTCACCGGTTTCATCAGGCAAAGGTGTCCTCCACTTTTGATATTAAGGATGCTTTTCAAACCATCCAACTAACGAAAGAATCTTCAATGCTGACTACCATGCGTACTCCTTGGGGACACTACTGTTGGACTTGCCTGCCCTTTGGCATCAGCTCCGCACCTGATGAATTCCAGCGGCACATCCATGATGTTCTTTGTGGCTAGATGGAATCATCAACATTGCTGATGACATGACATCATTGTCATGGGTCGTGGTGATTCTCTGCAGGCGGCCACTCGTGATCATGACCAAAGCCTACTCAAATTGTTAAAGCGTTTAAGAGTGTGTCCATGTAAGAACCATGCAGAACCCTGCAAGTGGTGATAAACGTCAACTCACAGAATTTGCTCAAATTTGGCACATATATAGAGGATATTAAGTATCTGATCTGATAAAAGTTTGAGGTAAAAATATTGCACGGTAACGGAATTATCCACCCCCCATGATTTTGGGTCGTTTACGGCTCCAAAAATGCCCTTTGCTAAGTAATATTTAGTACATTATAAAATTATAAAAACACACTCAAATGAAATGATATTTCGGCTGCTAAACTAAGACACCCGACCTTCATAATATGTAATTGTTTATGTCATCCACTAGGGCTGGTTGTCATGGCAACACCAAAAAGAAGAGACGTTTTTTCCATTTTTCGTTAAATTTTTTTTTGGACCATTTTGAGAGCGAATATCTCCGTTGAACAACTTGATTGAAGTATAATTGACACACAGTTATTAAAAGCTGTCCATACACTTGGTTAAACAACAACAAAAATTTGGGGATATTTAATACATTTCTCATGGCCAGGCAACAAATATACCCTATGTTGAACATTTGCATAATGTTAAAAAAAAATCATAACACAGAACAAACTGCTTAACTGTAAAGTCCGTATACAATTACTCATCAGACATGCAAATAATGTCATTAAACAACATTGAATTATCTGACAAAAGAATAATGAGCAAGTTTTACAAGCAGGAATAGAAGAAAAATTGAATAATATATTAATGTATCTTGCACATAATAACAGAGGCGAGTAAAAACAATATAAATATGATATTCTTTATAAAAATAGATTTAAAACATGAAAAACGTAAAAATAATACTCACATAGAAGATTTGTTCTGATACTCGAAGCAGTGCGAGGGTAGTTTTATGACCATTTATTATACTACCTATATACTACAAGTCTACAACAGCCTTTCGATGTATTTTGAAATACATAATTTTTATATTTACATATCTTTGCCAATGTTTTCCTTTGCTATTAAACTAATGTTGATAACTGTGGTTGAAATAAAAAAGAAATGGTTATCTCAAGGCAAGCAAACTACTTTAAAAGAACTGACATTTGTTGAAATGAACAAATCAAAACAATGGGCCGCCATCTTGGAAAATGTATTCCCTGTCAGCGGCTTTCCTCACGAGTTGTAAACTTCATGTGTTCGTCAATATATATAGGAAAACAGAAATGTAGTTTACAAAGAAAGAAAAACATGCTACCAGGAACACCAAAGGTTGTTAAATGTTCAGTTGGGCAAAGGCTTGAAACTGATTGTGGTCTTTGCTCGAGATACCCTTCTATGAACGAGTGTATGCCAATATTAGCATGTAAAAGAGATATACAAGTGCATCTCCGGCGTTTAAACTTATCTAGACAAGCAGTAGCATCAGAAGGCGATCT